AATGCAAAATTAAGTATATATATGTGATTTTTGTGTACCCGTGGCGCCCTGTAGCAGTATATCTGTTACAGGGCGGTCGGGAAGAGGTTAATGACTCTCCAATCTGTTCTTCATGAAATTGTTTCTTACTGTGTTTTTCTGCATCCCTATAACATTCTCCGCAAACTAATTTTCCCCCTGACTTCTGTTTGCTTGGCATGAGCAGATCACGTTAGTTGTGGTCATGTGCACTGACCTTTGTACACTACACTTCCAATAGTCCATCTTGGGAGAAATCGAGGGTGACTTCATTCCTACATACAGTAGGTTTATGGAGAAGGAATGTAGTCAACCTGTGATGGGAAGTCGTACAACAGCAGCAAAACAAAAAAATTAATTTGGAGGACACTGAGGCGCAGGAGTGACATCATTGCGCTCCAGCCATTCAAGTATCCGAAGAGACAGAACCCTGATGGAAGGGGCAAAGATAAAAGCATTAAGAGCCTGCTAGATCGGTGACAGCACATTGTTGGAGGACACATTATGACAGGTAAATATGTCATAATGTGCTAGTATGTTTTGCATGCTAGCACAATATGGCATATACTTGAAAAGGTTATAGTGGAAAAAAATGTTTAAAAAGAGTTTACTACTGCTCTAAGAATACATACATAGATTTTTTTTTTTTAAACCAAAATATTTTTTTAAATAGATTTTTGGAATTTAATTGGCAGTAAATTATGATAGCTACATCTCATTTCAGCAACAGTGCTCCACTGTTGTACCGATACTGCCAGACGTCCATCTCTTTTCCTGTAATAAGAACAGTTTGCTCTCCAAAGTCCTTTTCATTCTTCCCTGCTGATGTCACAACCTCAGACATGAATGGAATTCCAGACTTCTTTTCTACAGCTTTGTCAGAAACAATAATATTTAACAGTCAGACTTCATGTAGGACTATTTTAGCTCCTGGAATCAAAGAAACAATTCATCTAATATGAAAAAAGGGGGGCATTATTAACTTTAGGCAGAAGCTTTTATATAAACTTTTACTACTAGTTATATAGAAACCTATTTTTTTTTTTCTTCCAAAGCTTTCTGTAGCTACTTGAACAATGCAGTATATTCAAGCGCTCGAGCGCACCCTCATGGTAGATGGTGGAATTGCCCCAGAAATGTTTTCAAAGAAAAGACCAATTATTCTAGAGCCTGTGAGACGCTGCGGAAGCTTAATCCCGCTGAAATAACATTTTCTTTGCACGATTTGTAAATGTGATGTCTGTGTTGGTAAAACTACAAAATAAAGGATCCTACAGAACAGAGAAGAAATTCATCAAATGAATTTTCTAAATAGACCTTAGCTTTGACTACGGTTTAACTTGTATTGTGTATATTTGTTACATTTGTCACATTTTTCAAGTGTGCTTGGGTACCTTTTACTTACGCAGATGACATCAAGACTTACATGTACTTGGGTACCTTATAGTATTGGGAAGAAATACTTGCAGGCAGTGTATTGGGCACTAATGCCTTTTATATAACTTTTGGACAGTTGGTTTGCAGCAACAGATAAACGGATCTTCGGCACTGATGTCAACAGTCCAGAAATGATATACACCAATCAGTCATAACATTTTGACCACTGACAGGTAAAGGAAAAACATTGAACTGATAATGTTGACAATGGCATTTGGAAGTGAGTGGGATAATTGATTGAGCTGATAATATTGACAATGGCAAAGTAGAAAGAAAATGGGCAAGCGCACAGATTTGTGTGAATTTGACAAAGTAAAAATTGTAATGGCTAGATGACTGGGTCGGAACACCTCCAAATCTGCAGCTCTTCTGGCATCTTCCTGATCTGCATGGTCAGGACCTACCAAAGGTGGTCCAAAGAAGGAAACCAGTAAACCAGCAACAAGGTCATGGGTGGTCAAGGCTCAATGAGCACGTGAAAAGTGAAGGTTGGCCCATGTGATCCAATCCAATAGAAGAGATACTGTACCTCAAATTGCTGATGAACTTAATCCTGGTTCTGACAGAAAGATGTCAGAACACACTCTGCATTAAAGTTTGTCGCATATGTGGCTGCATAGCCAGACGAGTCAGGGTGCCCATGCTGACCTGTATCCCCAGCCAAATCACCTACAATTGGCACGTGAGCTTCGGAACTGGACCACCGAGCAATGGAAGGTGGGCCTGGTCTGATAAATCATGTTATTTATTTTTTTTTAACATCATGTGGATGTTAAGCTGCCTGTGCGTAGCTTACCTAAGGAAGAGATGAACTATAAGAAGACAACTGGGCAATGTTCTGCTGGGAAACCTTGAGTCCTGCCATTCATGTGGATGTTACTTTGGAGTCCATGCCTTAACGGGTCAAGGCTTTGGGTGGTCGTAGTGTTATGATGCCCTCTAATTCCTCCTGTATTGAATTGTATTGCATCTGTAGAGTCTGCCCTCATGTTGTAAAGTGCTGAGCAAACTGTTGCCGCTATATAAATCCTGTATAATAATAATGATGGGTGGTCATAATAGTATTGCTGTTACCAGAGGATGGCTTCCGTTATCACAGGTAGTGTCCCTTCTGGGCATAGGCAAAGAATGTTCCGGCTTCACGTTCCCTGGAGTGAAGAAGGAGCCTTCCCTGAGCTATCCCTCCTTGACAGGAACCTGAGCTTGAGCTAATCACCATCCCTCACAAGCTGCTTCCTTTCCCTACTTTTCACTTGCCAAAAGCACACCAAAATGATGTGGGGACCCCTATTTAAAAGCTTCCCTCACCCAAGATGGCCGCCCAAGGTTATTAGAGGTTGCAGCGTCCAATCAGACAACTGTGAGCCACTGAGTCCATGAGCAGACAATTTTCCCCTAACAAACGTCACGCCATGATATGATGGCACGGCAGCGCCTACTTGGCGGAGGAAAACCTACACATCTTTTATTACAGCAAAAATATTCGCAAAAACAAAGGGCTACTATAAATTACATTTTTATTTCTTCTTATCGGTAAGGAAGACATCGTTCATCGTTTAACTGCGACTTTTCCCACCTCTTATACAGGAAAGTTCATACAATTGATGTGTATTGCTGCAGACTTACCCCTGAGTGTATATATATGGAGATGGAGGCTGCCTTTCCTGCATGCCTTGGCACCCCCCCGTGTTTTGAATAAAATATGGAGCTGTGTCATTTAGACATTCCTCAGTATGCGTCAGAGGATCAGATCCACGTTGAATGTGTGATAGTTGTGTCTCTCCCTCATGTTGTGAGGTAATAGAATAAACAGAAGCCCGTTTCCTGCCTCCTGCCCTCTGATTGGCTGGCTCGCCCTCCAGGAATGTCTTGACTGCTTTATATGGAAGTGCTCAAAGCCACTCAGAAATCACATGGAAAGGAGAACGTCCAGCGGGAGGAATAACATTCATCTCCATAGCAGAGACCTGGAGACACTCCGCGACCTTGGCACACAGCAATGTAAGAGGAATGTCTGCCTGCTGCCTGTCTGCTACTACTGGGTGTACGGAGCGCAGCGCAGCGCCGGGGGTACCGCTAGTGCTAGGCTGTAAGGACTGGGAGCTGCGTCCTGCCTGCCCGGCCATTCATAGCTTTCCAGTTATATGGATGGAGAATGTTCTCCTGTTGGCATTTCCAGTCTTGATTATTGAGCTGGTTTTGGTGTTTGTAGAATTTAGTTATACTGAACACAGGCTGGCTTCAGACTGTACAAAGGAAAGATCTCAGGGATGAGGTTTGTCCCGAGTGGGAGATCCCAGTGTTTTCCTGCTGTAGTCTGCAGATACAAATCCTTCTATGTTGTACTGTGTGCACAGCTAGTCCACGAACCAAGAATGGCTTTTCCATCTCTTACACTGAATGTGTGATCCTTCTCTCTCTCTCTCTCTCTCTCTCTCCCCCCCCCCCCTTCTTCTTTATTTCTCCTCCCCTTCTTTCTTTCTCCCCCCCTTCTTCTTTCTTTCTCTCTCTCTCTCCCCCCCCCTTCTTCTTTCTTTCTTTCTCCCTTTCTCTCTTTTTTTCTCTCCCTTTCTCTTTTTTTTTCTCTCCTCTTTTTTTTCTCCCCCTCTCTCTTTTTTTCCTTTCTTCCCCCTTCTCTCTTCTCCCCCCCTCATCTCTATGTCTTTATCTTCTCTCTCCCCTCCTCTTTCTTTCCACCTCCTTTTTCTCTCTCCTTCCTCTCTCTCTTTTCTTCTTTTTTCACTCTCTTTCACTGTCCCCTTTCTCTCACCCCTCCTTCTCCCCATGTCTCTCTCTTGTTCTCCTTCCCTCTATCGTTCTCTCTTTCTTTCTAGTCCCCCCTTTCTCTCTTGTTCTCCTTCCCTCTTTCTTTCTATCCCTTGCTCTGTCTTTCTACCCCCTATCTCCTTCTTCCCCCTCTTTCTGTCTGTAAGTTCAGTTCAATTCTAATACATTTTATTGGCAGGATCAAACATATTTTATCACTGCCAAAATGATCGAGTTTGTTTGGATTTGATGGGAAGGAGGGAGCGGGGAGGTAGCTCCAAGGCAAGTGTGTGTGGAGGGGGGTAAGGAATGATAAAAGGGGGGATAGGGGGTAAGACAATGGAATCGATTTTAATTATTTCTTGTCTCTCTCTTTCATCACTTTTTCTCTTTCGCTCCTATCTCTGCATGGAGCTCCTTCTCCCTGTGCCTGCATGGGTTTTCTCTAACATTCCAAACACGAGCAGGTAGATTCACTGGCTCCTGTCTAAACTGGCCCTAGAGTGCATATGTATGCAAATGAGATACGGATGTACAGCTTGTAGAACACTGCATAAATTGTCAGATCTATAGAAAAACCCTAACGAAGAAATAATAAATCATTACAGTTCTCTGTTATGAAATATTATTGAATTTTGGCAAGTGAAATTAACTATTGTACAAGTTACTGACTTTGTAGTGATAGCAGTAAATCTAAGTAATGTGTTGAAGGTTGATATTACCTTTATGAACAAACTCTTTTTATTTTCTTTTTTAGAACCCTTCATTGATTTTGCACAATGGTACTACCAAAGGGTATCTTCTTGTTATTAATGCTGTCAGTTCCTCACACAAAGCAAGCATCAGGTATGAAATATCTCATGTTTTATAACAAGACAAAGTGTGATTCCGTTATCCTCATTAATAAAAATTGTTGCTATTAATTTTTGTTATTGTTGTTTTTTGATACTTTGGGGATTATTTACTAAAACTGGAGAGTGCAAAAATTTGGTGCAACTCCACATAGAAACCAATCAACTTTCAGACTTTGTCACAGCCTAATTGAACAAGCTGAAGTTAGAAGCTGATTGGCTACCATGCACAACTTCACCAGATTCTGAATTCTCCAGTTTTAGTAAATCTTCACCTATGTCATACTAAAATAAAACATTATAACATCTTGAAGCATATAGTATATTTTCTTTTTCTATTGTGATCTTACAACATTCTTCTGGTGTTAGGTTAAAATCACAAATTTAAAGCCAATATAGGTCATCTGTAGCTTTTTAGTTGCTGCCTCACTGCAACCTGTTAGTTGTTATGGACATGTTAGCTTGAAGACTTTGTTCTTCTACTGAGTAGTGTTGATAGGAATTTTGGCTTTTATTACCAGGAGCTCTTACAAAGTATTGGATATTTTGTTCTTTCTTTCTTGAATAGTTTTAAACAAGCTTCTCTTTCTACTACCACAGAGAATGGAGCAGAAGACAACAGCGTCTTTGATCTGTTTGAAATAACTGGAATCAGTCGCAAGTTGAGCTCTCGCAAATCTCAAGGAGTTTCTTTAGTAAAGGGTCCTGATCCATCAAGCCCAGCTTACAGAATAGAGAACCCTAACCTGATACCTCCAGTTCCAGAGGAAAAATTTCAGGATCTGCTGGACAGTGTTCGAGCTGAGCGGGGCTTTATTTTATTGGCTACTTTACGCCAAATAAAGAAGACTAGAGGAGCACTCTTGTCTATCGAAAGAAAAGATGGCACAGGACATGTTTTCAGCCTCACATCCAATGGTGAAGCTGGAACTTTGGACTTGAGTATCAGTACAGAGGACAAGCAGCAGGTGGTGTCTGTTGAAGAAGCCAGGCTGGCTACAGGCCACTGGAAGAACATTACTCTTTTTGTGCAGGAAGATCGGGCTCAACTTTATGTAGGATGTGACAAGATGGAAAACGCTGAGCTTGATATACCCATCCATCATATTCTCTCTGGAGACTTGGCAAGCACTGCTCAAATGAGAGTTGCAAAGGGAGGGTGTGAAAGACAATTTCCAGGTAAGTCAAGGCCAAAAACTACAAGTCAAGAGCACGTGTAAGGAAAACACATGGACCAGTAACTTTAGGTTGTGAAGATGATTGGTGTACAGGTTTATATGTAATAGTTGCTGTGAGCGATTATTGTTTGATTCCCTAAAAAAATGTTGCAGACCTTATTTCTATTAAGTCATCTTAGAATAAGTGATTCTGTTAAAAACTGTATCCTGATTTTGTATTCACAGGGTGTTCTACAGAACCTGCGTTTTGTTTTTGGAACCAGTATGGATGTGATCCTTAGAAACAAAGGCTGCTCCAGCTGTAAGTGTAAGCATGTGTGCATAAGAAATCAGGCTGAATGTTAATATGTTGGTAATCTTTGACCATTTGGATTAGTTTAATGCAGAGAAAATGTGGATTTCTGAATTATGCTCAACCACAACAATCCATTGCTAGAAAAATCATTGTCATTAGTAGAACTAGCGTAGCTCTGAATTAAATCGATTGTTTCCTTGTCTGTTTATGAATTGAATAGAAAACAAAACATACAACACATTTTTAGCTATGAACATATAAATAAAGTAAACAAAAAAAAGTTGTAATGTAGAATGCAAAAAAAAAACTTATTCTTTTGTTATTGTTTCAGCAAATTATGATTTGGAGAACTCGGTAAATGACTCTCGTCCGGCTATCCGAACCAATTACATTGGACATAAGACAAAGGATGTCGATGGCGTATGTGGCATTTCCTGTGATGAGCTGAAAAATATGTTTTTCGAGATGAAAGGACTTAAAGCAGTGATCTCAAATCTCCAGGCAAAAATACAGAAAGTTGTGAGTAAAAATATATGTTGCTTTTAATGATAAAGCTATATGGAAGATATACAAGTTATATAATGTGGACTTTTACTTGTTTTCTTCAGACAGAGGAAAATCTTCTTTTTGCTGAAGTGGTGAAGGTTAAGGTGACACCAGGTGGTGTGTGCATGCACAATGGGATCAAATATAACAACATGGATGAGTGGACTGTTGACAGCTGTACTGAGTGTACATGTCAGGTAATAATTTGTTTCCAATATCTCTTGCTCATTCTTACTCTCATTAGCCAATTTTAGTCATTATTAGTGATAGACTTTCAAAATGAATTTAATAAACTACTTGGCTAGATATAGTCAATATATTAAATAGGTTTCCTCTTCCAGTAAAAAATGAGCATCTTTTTTACTCTAAAGTATACGTAGAAGTGAAGGTCCCCTCCTCAAACATTTGCTTTCTGTTAGTCGATCCCTACTTTGCCAACCATTTTGGTGATTTTTGGCCTTCTATCACAACATAAAGTTGACATATGAACAAAAAAAAACAATTACATTCTATTTCATAGAGGGAAAGATTCGTTTGGAGATGCTAAAATGTAGTTACTGATAACAAGGCATCTAACAGCACAGGAGCAGTCTTGCTTTCATGCCAATTTCTACATTGTTGGATATTGATGACTATATTTTCATTCCAGAATTCTGTGGTTATTTGTCGGAAAGTTTCTTGCCCACTAATACCATGCACCAATGCCACAATTCCTGATGGAGAATGCTGTCCCAGATGTTGGCGTAAGTATCTATTTGTTACTGTCAAAAAGCATAGTGTTGTTCAAAAAATGTTGATTTGCCACCTGTCAACTTGTTATAGCACAATAGACTAATAGTTTATTTAACAAAAGTAAAAAGAGCTTGTTTTAAAAGAAAGTAAAATTTAAAACAAGCTTAATTCTAACAGTAAAGAACAGGCTTTTGATCCTGCAGCATTTCTGATGTTCTAAAACTGGTGATTCATACTTTGAACATACTACCTTAAGCATTTTATTTGGTAGGGGAGGTGTATCTACAGCCTTAGGCTCAACAGTTCATTTTCAAAAGGCATAATGACAAATATGCAGATATTAATCTTGTAAATGCTGAACAAGTTGATTCAGGACAGAGATAAAATAGGCTCTTGTGAAAGTAAGACAGCTGAAAGTGCAGAACTCCAAGAGTTAGAACCTGCTTGGTCCTGTGCACTTCATATTTCTGTTCCCTTGGCATGTATGGAACATCTAGCCAACAGATCCGCAGCTTGTACAGATAATGATCCTTCATGTAATTGCTTAAATAGCTTTTCAGTTATGAGTTATGGTTGTTTTTTTTTTCTTTTTAAACATACAATTCTGTATTTAATTGGAATTGGACAACTAAATATAATCTAGTGTCAAGCATGATGCATGTGCTACAGTGTATTATTCTCACACAACAATAAATTAGATACAGAATCCATCACCTTTTAGAGATAGAATAATGAGTTACCTCTGACAGCATATCAAAAAGACACATCATATTATAATAGACATATTGATTTTTATCCATAACCTCACTCATCATGCTTTTTTTATGGTTTACAGCAAGTGACTCTCCTGAAGATGGTTGGTCTCCATGGTCGGATTGGACTCCTTGCTCTGTAACATGTGGTCATGGTGTCCAGCAAAGAGGCCGATCTTGTGACAGCCTTAATAACCGCTGCGAAGGGTCCTCTGTCCAGACCAGATCTTGCACTATCCAAGAATGTGATAAACGATGTGAGTATACCAATTTGTTATCCCCAGCAGTTATTTATACAGTATATTGTGGTAAACCGATTTATAAAAACTAGAGTAAAAAAAAGGTAGAAGCAGAGGCGTCCCTAGGGTTGGTGTCACCCGGTGCGGTTGCATGTGGTGTCACCCCCAGAGGCGTCCCTAGGGTTGGTGACACATGGTATCACCCCTCCAGAGAGGAAGGCGTGGTGCCAATGTAGCGGTAAAATGAGTATCCCGTGAAAATATGTATCCCCTGAAGCAACTGCGCATGTGCTGGTTTCAGGCCGAAGAAGCCGATCGCCAACTTTAGCACAGAGCTGCCACAGTTAACCCCTTACAGGCTGCAAACTGCTGAAGCTGATCCCGCGGCTCACTATGGGTTGCAAGATCAGTTAACCCCGTATAGGTTCAACTGCGCATGAACCCCGTATAGGTTCATGCGCAGTTGCTTCAGGGGATACATATCTTCACGGGATACTCATTTTACCGCTACACCAGGGGCAGCTGTCACTGCCGGGATCACCCCAATAACTGGCCAGGACCTTCACAAAGCCCAGAAGGTCCGCTGGCATCCTGCTCCTGTACCCCCGCACCCCCCTAGGGACACCACTGGGTAGAAGCGTGCCTATAGTTGCTCTGATGCCAGTTATAGCTTATTAGAAATATTTTACAATCTGGGGAACAGCATGTATTCTGATTTCTTCCCAAGATGTCCCCCATTAGGCAAATCTGAGTTTCTTTTTTCAAGTGTTTCAGTTATTGATTTAAACTTCTTATATTCTCTTAGGTCTACAAATATCAATAGTCACCTATAACACTTTTAATAATTAGGGTTCATATCTAAGTTTAAAATCCATCTTATAAATTTAGTACCACAGCTGATAGGATTTATTGGTAAACATATTCAGAGTTTAGATACTTTTACTCTTAGTGATATACAATGTAACATAATAATCATTGTTTTTAACTTAACTAGAAATACATAGTGTCTTTTCTTTTCAGTTAAACAAGATGGTGGATGGAGTCACTGGTCTCCATGGTCCTCATGTTCCGTCACTTGTGGAAGTGGAATGATGACTAGAATCCGACTTTGCAACTCACCTGTTCCACAGCTGAATGGCAAGCATTGTGTGGGTGAAGGAAGAGAAAATAAGCCATGCCAAAAAGATCCTTGTCCAAGTGCGTACCATTTTTTACACTGACTTTATTTACCCTGTGATCTTTTTAGGCAAATATGCACCATGATTCAAATGCCACACTGAGCATATTTGAGGGAAACAAAGAAATAAGTTGTATCAAGTTTCCAGAGTTTGAGAAATGAAATTCTTCCAAAGGTCACATCAGTGAAAAGTTTCTCTCGACAGATCTTTCTTTGTTTATACCATGAATAGTAATTGTGGACAGTATGGAGGAATAATTAATTCTGTAATCTGATATTTTTTCTAGTTAATGGCCAGTGGGGACCTTGGTCACCCTGGGACATATGCAGTTTGACATGTGGAGGTGGTTTTCAGAAACGAGAGCGTCTTTGCAACAATCCCAAGCCCCAGTTTGGTGGTAAAGACTGCCTTGGAGAGAATGCTGATAGCCGCCTTTGCAATAAGCAAGACTGTCCCATTGGTAAGTCATTAAAACACACAGATAATTAGACGTTTCCTGTTTGCCCTTATCCATCAGGCTGATTTTCATGTTGATTAATCCCAATTTAGATGGATGCTTATCAAATCCTTGTTTTGCTCGAGTTACTTGCACAAGCTTCGATGATGGCTCTTGGCAGTGTGGTGCTTGCCCTACAGGGTATAGAGGAAATGGCATTGAATGTACAGATGTAGATGAGGTGAGTTGCAAACGTTGAACATAATTTTATTAACCATCCAGTGTGATAAACCAATAAAGTATAAGAACCGAAACATTTTAATTGTGTCATTATTTTTCTTTATAGTGCAAGGAGGTTCCCAATGCTTGCTTTAGCCTTAATGGAGTGCACAGATGTGAGAATACAGAGCCTGGATACAATTGTCTTCCTTGTCCTCCACGATACACTGGCACACAACCATTTGGCAAGAGCATTGAGGAAGCCAAAGCAAACAAACAGGTAACTTTTTTATTTCCACCTCAGTGTTGTATTTCTAACATCACACACAATCTAGCTACGTGAATAGAATATTCTATAAAGAAGTATAGTTTATAGGTCCATTTTAGCATAGTTATTCTTTCATAAAATAAGCATTTCCCCAGATGTTTTATTTTTCATAATGATGTACAGTAATTTACCTGATTCTGGAAGAGTTTCTAAAAGAGATGGAGAAAGAGAAAAACAAAAAGGAGAGTGTAGTAGTTTAATGATTCTGTGCATATATATCAGGGTTCATTCATAAGGCAAATGTATAAGGTTATTATAGATTTATAAAAAGTAGAAATAAAAGTTTTAATAAATATGATCAATATAGATTGTTAAACATATATTAGCTGTTTAAATATGCTCAGATAATAATAGCAGATTATTATAAGATCTAGTATATGATATAAAAAGTGATAATACACATAAAGGGAAAATACACAATATGATACAGCATAACACAAAATGATCATAATGTAGTGTATTATAATGCATCTGTTCTGATATAAAATATAAAACATCTTTTACTGACTCTTGATCTCTTCATTAAACCAGGTCTGCAACCCTCGGAACCCATGTCTTGATGGAACACATAACTGTAACAAGAATGCAAAATGCATCTATCTTGGCCTTTACACTGATCCCATGTTCCGTTGTGAATGCAAACCAGGATATGCTGGAAACGGCATAATCTGCGGTGAAGACACAGACTTGGATGGATGGCCTAATGATAACCTTACATGTGTTGCCAATGCTACCTATCATTGCAAAAAAGTAAGATGATTAGACTAGTTTTGTGCAGAAAACAGAAAGTATACAGAGAGCCTCACAATGCTTTCAGTTATGTACACATATTAAAATGCAGACATCTCTTTTGTAGGATAACTGCCCCAACCTTCCCAACTCAGGCCAAGAAGACTATGATAAAGATGGAATCGGAGATGCCTGTGATAGCGATGATGATAATGATGGAATCCCCGATGATAGGGTAAGAAAACAAAGGCTATATTCATGTTTTTCAGAACTGCTAAGCTTTGGATTTCTCTGCTTCTTGTTGAGTTAAACAAAACAGCAGGAATGTAAACACTGCTTCTCTTTTCAAGCAGAAAATATCATAAGGTTGTGAAATTTGCCCAGTAAATTGTGAAATCTTTTGGCTAGGTTAATACTATGAAGTGTTTTGCTAAGAGTGGACTTTGAAAGTGAAATTGACCCTGAGCTTCCTGCAAACAGCAGGATAACAAAGTTTGCAACAGACAGATGTTACCTTCCTAAAATCCCATGCACACATTCTGGCATTTAAGTGACATTTTTCAACAAGACCTACTAAACTTCAGAGGTGTTGCTAAAAATATCACATGTCATTAAACATGAAAACCTGTATGCCTATGAAAACTAATACATACCCAGACTGAGCTAGATAGGGAGACTTAGCTGGCTTAGTTACTTGACAGTCAAAAAGGAACATTTTTTTGTCTAGCAAAACTATTTTGTAGTTTGAGTTCAGCTATGTTTCAGAAGTGCCTTCAAGCATTGTTTGTTCAAAGAGGGAGAAGCCATCTGAGATTATTTAGAAATCTTATGTGGATACCACCTAGGGGCTTCGAGGCAGACCTAAAAAACACTGACAGATTATGTTTCATATTTGGCTGGAGGATACTTTTAATCCGCTGTGCAGATAAAAATCCTGTTGCTAGAGAAACATTGTACTTGCCTGTCATTCCTCTTACCCTGTTATAACAAAGATATTGAGATATGAGATGCAGTACTTGTAACACATTACTTTCTTTTTCAGGACAATTGTGCATTTGTATACAACCCTGCACAGTATGACTATGACCGTGATGATGTGGGTGATCGCTGTGACAACTGCCCATACAACCATAATCCAGACCAGGCTGATACTGATGCCAATGGGGAAGGAGATGCCTGTTCTGTGGATATTGATGGAGATGGTTAGTTTTTTTTTTTTTTTAACTGTTTCTTGATTAATCTGTAGCAATGTCAATTTGTAAGTTCATATGGTGTCACAGCAAAGCATAGCCTTTTACCACCTGATATTACAGGACCTAAGCCCAATTTTACACAAGACAAGTGCAGGTAAAACAGGGAGCATCTGCCCTGAAAGTATACACACCAAACATACATAGGCAAGCTACTGCAGTTTTGACATGCTTTCATTCTCTATCCAGAAATACATCACCTTCATCTTGCTCTTAATGCAGAACAACTGCCTTTCAGACTAACACTCTGCAATGAACATTAATTAACGTTAATCTTCTGTCTCAGGAATAAAATATACAAATATATCATAAATTCAAAATGGAAGTATAGAAACAGTGGGGGTTATTTTCTAAAGCTGGACAGTTCAAAGTCTGGTGCACCTCTGCATTGAAATCAATCAGCTTCCAGGTTTTATTGCCAAAGCTTAACTGAACAAGCTGAAATTAGAAGCTGATTGGCTACCATGCACAGCTGCACCAGATTCTGAGTGCACCAGTTTTAGTAAATCTACCCCACCGTGTTCAATCTATATTTTGAGCTTATGTTCCCAATCTACTATATATTTCAAAACCAAGCCTCTAAATCTTGCGTTGAGTCCATTTAAAACATTGTGCCTAATTTCTTTTGTCTGTGTCATTTTACTACAGGCATTCTCAATGAAGTAGACAATTGCCCTTATGTATACAATGTAGACCAGAGGGATACAGATAAAGACGGCATTGGAGACCAGTGTGACAACTGTCCCTTGGAGCACAATCCAGATCAGGTAAGAACTATGTTTTGTATGAACTGTGGACTTGTCTACTGCAATTATCAAAGTTCTAGCTGTCTTTTTCAAGTGCAGATTAGAAAATGCCAGATAAAATTTGATGTATTTCCATGTGGAGGCACTTTTTTAACAAATAATCTTCAGAGTTTTACATTCTGAACTTCTGGTTTACTCTTGATAGCACACTTATGGAACTCCCTGTACCATGCATCAATTTCTTAGCTGACCTTAGGCATCGCTAGTATAGATTTCCCAGTCTGTGCCACTGTGCTCATCATGGATTAGTTATGTTTGTAAAATCTCTCCACTTTAATCTTACTTTATTGCTTAGTTTTAATCTGAACACACATATACATTCCAGTGCTTCACACAGACTGGATTTTCTGTTTTCAGTAGATCATTTCCCACCAAAACATAACTACATAATCTCTGCAACAACTTTATTGTTTTTACACCACTAGCTTTAGTAATTGTGCTCCCAAGACCAAGAGGATTTCTTGTACTAAGACATTGCTTGGCAGTGTACCACTTTATGGACTTACTAGGTACCAGCAAGAAATCAGCACGAGTTTTCTTAATTCCCTTTTCCTTTCATTCACTTAAGTCTAAAAAGCTTGGGTACCCAATTCTGCTTTAATACATAATCAAAAGTTTAGCTGTACACGTCAGTGACTGTGTGTTATTTTCTAAGCAGATATTTGTGGGAACATACAAAATTACTTATGCTCCATGTCACCACAAACACATCAAACAGTAGGTTAACATTTTTTTGTTGTTAATTCTATTCCAGACTGACTCTGACTCCGATCTCATTGGTGATAAATGTGACAGCAATGAAGACATAGATGAGGATGGTCATCAGAATAACCTGGACAACTGTCCTTACATCCCCAATGCCAATCAGGCTGACCATGATAAGGATGGCAAGGGCGATGCTTGTGATCATGATGACGACAATGATGGCATTCCAGATGAAAAAGATAATTGCAGACTGGTGCCTAATCCTGATCAGATTGATACTAATGGTAAGATGAAAATTGAAGGATTTTATGAATTTCATGAAGGTGCAGCCAACGCATCTGACAGATTTTATTTCATGTTTGATATCAGTCGTACTTTAAAAAAAAAATACATGAGACTAATCTTTCTCAACTTTGTAGGTGATGGACGTGGTGATGCCTGCCAGTTTGACTTTGATAATGACCAAATTCCAGACTCTGAGGATGTTTGCCCTGAGAATTATGCAATCAGCACAACTGACTTTCGCAAATTCCAAATGGTGCCTTTGGATCCAAAAGGAACATCACAGATTGATCCCAACTGGGTGGTCAGGCACCAGGGAAAAGAGCTGGTACAGACTGTCAACTGTGACCCTGGCATCGCTGTTGGTAAGATTCCATTAAAGAGAAAGTATAACATATTTTAAATGAGCACAGGTTTTGAGTTCTTACAGTAGTCTATAACAAAGTAATTTTTGATGTGACTAGTGGTCACTGAAGGCACTGCAAAGCAGGAAGCAGAGCCTGGGTATGCACCGAGCAACAATAACTGCCCCCATGCACATACATATTTACAAATTATATAAAAAAGCACGGTATTGAAAACTCTAGTATAAAATGACATTTAAAGCAAACATTTGACTATTTACATTTATATCCCCCCAAAAATTTTTTAAACTTAAAACAGTAATACTGTAGATTTTTACATTTATGTGATTTAAAAACAGAGTAAAAGACCTTTTTTTTTTTTTTTGCCATTTATTTTTTATTTTCTTTTAAGGTTTTGATGAGTTTAGTTCAGTGGATTTCAGTGGAACCTTCTTTGTCAACACTGAGAGGGATGATGACTATGCTGGCTTTGTGTTTGGCTACCAATCAAGCAGCAGATTTTATGTGGTTATGTGGAAACAAATTACCCAGACCTACTGGGACACAACGCCTACTAAAGCTCAGGGATACTCTGGTCTCTCTATAAAAGTTGTCAACTCAACAACTGGGCCTGGAGAACACTTACGGAATGCTTTGTGGCACACAGGCAATACTGCAGGACAGGTAGGTGGTTCTCTGTATCATTTACCAGAAACATCTGATTAGTTAGTAAGCACCATACAGATGACAATGTTTCTGTAAGATAAAATGTTACCTCACCCAATATTAAATGGCTTTCATGCTAATGTGCTTTTTATAGGTTCGTACTTTGTGGCATGACCCTCGTCATACAGGATGGAAAGATTTTACTGCTTACAGGTGGCATTTAATCCACAGACCAAAGACTGGATTCATTCGGTAAGAAAGAAAACGTTATCCTGTTGTTGCCATGTTTGGATACCAAAATTAAAAGAAATATTAGACTATGTTGATAATTTAATGCCATCTCTCTTTTTTAGTGTTGTAATGTACGAAGGGAAAAAAATAATGGCTGATTCAGGACCTATTTATGATAAGACATATGCTGGAGGAAGATTAGGACTGTTTGTATTCTCACAAGAGATGTGGTCTTCTTTTCGGATCTTAAATATGAGTGCAGAGGTGAGTAGCTCAATAGTTTTGTATGTATTATCAGGGCATTGTGATGTGATTTAATAGATTGTATGCAGTTTTCTCAATGCAAGTATGACATAGTCCCCAATCACTTATAAATAGTTTTACCTAAAGAGGATATGTTTAATCTAAGAGCAAACTGATAGAAAAAAAGGCATCATCCATTGACTTGTTTTCAAGATGGAAGACCCAGGACTATCTGTAGTAAATCACTTTGCCTGAGCAAACCTATGTCCAGTAAAGTGTTGGGTCACATAGGATGCCTATATGTCCATTCGCTCCATGCCAAAGACTCAGTAACAGTGAAGCAAGGATGATTATAGCCCTGTGCTATAATTTTGAAAACAAGTCATTAATAGCAGCCCCTTGCTGAGGATAGAAACATGGAGGCTGTCAATGCTGACCTGTTTTTTGAAGTTGCATACATCAGAGCCATTATCCTGGTCTTGTCTCACCACTACTTACAGAGGCACTAACTGGGAAAAAAAGCGTGTACATATCAGGTGACTTGTTGGGTTAGATTCAGGCCAGTGACTTACCAACAATGTATAAGGGTAACAGCCCCATAGCATGAATTTTCAAAAAAAGATAGTGGGAGCTCTCTTACATTTATCCTGACAGGCCCCTTTCTTTTGTAAGAGAGTAGTAAAGCACAACTATAGATCTCAAATAAAGTTCATGTTTCCCTGGAATTCTGCAGATCAGTTTGGTTATAGGTAAAGGTGTTTATAGGTAGCTGTTTAACAAAAGAACCATATCTCCTCTTTTATGATAAGCACCACTTGTTCACATTAAGATTATCATAGTGCTAGCCACAGCCATGTTTGCATAGCTAAAATGTACACAGGACAGGGGTACATTTAAAGGATAAAAGTCTTCTGATTGCAATGAAAGTAATGACTGTTTGGGAATGCTTTAGGACACAGTATAATAATATTATCTTTCCTCTTTCCTTTAGACTCATAAACCTGGATCATATGCATTCAGTGAATGTTAAGGAAACCTCATAGCACTTTTGGAAATGTTAGATGTGTACCATTTCTCGGATGCTTTCTTCCATCCATTTTCTTATTTTCCGTTGAAGCAAAAATAAATCCACTCCAAGGACTTGTAACTAAGGAAGCGACTGTAACTTATGAAAATGATTGACTAATTATGAAATCTTGGAATTGATTGCAATTTTATGGTAGCCACAAATCTGCCATAATGAAACAGACATTCATGAACAAGTGCCTCATTGGAGATGATTTACAGAAAGGAAATAAAAAATAGACATGATCGCATATGGTACTGCCCTTAAAAATACAACAGGAATAATGTTGGAACTCTGAGTGCTATGTATTGGAAATTGAAAAAAAAAACTATTGCAAATAGTGCACATAAGTGTGTTTTACAGGAATGGTTGCTTCATTGCAAAAGTAGAGAGATATGTTAATTTAAAAAAAATAAATATCTCTTTTGGAGAGATAACTTTCTGCTATTCAGAATGGAGTCACCAGAGTATAAATAGGTAGACTACAGATGTAGATATGACTGCCATAAAACTTATCGGCGCGTGAGTGTATTTTTTAAGTGGATGGCTGTTAGTAACATTGCAGCGTGGATGTTAGTGTCGGACTGTAAGTGTGTATGTACATATAGTATGTGTGTGTGTGTGTGCATCATATGAACTGTGTATTCAAGTTATGCACTTCTTCTTCATTTGCAAAAAAAAAAATGCAATTACTCTAACTTGGTACAGCACAGTTCAGGCATACAAAGTATGTTACATTGTGTGAATTGTGTAAGAAAGACAAGGAGACAAATAGGAAAGATAGTGGAAACAAAATCTATACAGGTAAACATTTTGAAAAAGACAAAAAAAAAGTCTTCTTACTGGAAAATGAAAAAGACAGGTAGGTCAGATCTAGTTATTGTTGTTTAGTTTTTAAATACAGTTCAAGCTGCACTATTGAAACGTTTCTTCAGGCAAGACTGCATAGCATGTTGATCTTGCTAAGGAACCGGAGGGAGAGCAAGGCAAGAGGGGTGGAGAGTTAGGTACAGCACACTCTCTGTACTAAATGTAAACCATATGTCTCCATATAGCCATATAACACCCTAATTACGCTATGGCAGGTAGACAGTCTTTCTCCGCTTAAGTACAAAATAATTAAGAGTAAACCAGCAGATTTAAAACTTCAAGTACAATATTACCTCATTGTGTGATTGAGATTCAGAAAATGTTTTTGATTTAAGAGCAGAAAATTGGAGAGATATTTAACAAGTATAGAAAAAAAAAATCTACTGTAGTGTTAATCAGTTCTGTATATAGTTACAGTGACTGAGTACCCCCAGGAAAGTATTTTAAACTTGTTTTTAATAAAGAGTTTTGTGATATTTTTTCTATATTTTAGTAATTACAGTGCTTTTTTGTATAAATGATTTTTATGTGTATTGCTGATTAGTGTTATGGGTATTTTGTAGATATGCTATTTAAATAATTTATCAGGAACTGCTTCCTGTAGTGTCTTTGCTCCTATTTGTATAAACGATTTTGCACTTGAAAAGAGCTTTGCAATATCTGTCTCAATTTTGTAATATCAATGTATACTTTTGTGATACAGAAAGAGAAAACTATGCCTTTTGTATACATTTTTAAATGTGTTTTTGTAAATTATACAGCAATTGTTGTCATTAAATATATAATAAAATATAAAATGTAATTTGTCTTTTCCTTTAGGTAACATTAGTTGGTATTTTGTGGTGTTATTCCTGGTCAGTTGTCAGGGAGCAGGATACACTATATAAATATATGAAATGAAATAGATTTTTCTCACAGATTAATATTTTTAAAGAGGTATGCCATTTTTGGTTAATAAAAGGATATCTACTTAAAAGGAGAGTAATGCCTGGTGACAGTCCTCTTCTGCAGGATTTCATCTGAAATTAGTCATTTTTGTTCAGCTGATAATTAAGCCCCTTATTCAAAAATTTTCAGAAGTCAACTAAGGGGTTGTTCCCTTCAGATGTACTGTAAATCTTCCTACTTCCAACAGAGTTTTGAAGAATTACTTATCATTGTTTTATTCTAGCTCTGTGGATCGTTAATGGCTTGTTAATGTAAAGAAGTATTCACTTCTACAAAAAAATCAGTTTAGAATAACATAGCTGTTGATGTCTTTCACCCAAATACTGGTAACTAAAAAGGGCCATAAAATGGACATTTCACAAATATTTAACAAACCTCTATAGTGATGTTCAACCCTAAAGTGATTTTTTTCTCTTTTAAATTAAAATAAAAAAGATACACATTGCTCAAAAAAATTAAAGGAATACTTTGAAAACACATCAGACCTCCAATGGGGAAAAATATCATGCTGGATATCTATACTGATATGGACTGGGTAATGTGTTAGGAATGGAAGGATGCCCCATCGTTTGATGGAAATGAAAATGATCAACCTAAACTGGACTGAATTCAAAGTCACCCCGAAAATCAAAGGGAAAAAATGATGCAGTTCATTTTGCTGAAATTTCATTGCAGCAACTCAAAATGGTACTCAGTAGTTTGTGTGGCCCCCACATGCTTGTATACATGTCTGACAACCTTGAGGCATTCTCCTAATAAGACGACAGATGGTGTCCTGGGGTATTTCCTACCAAATATGCACCAGGACATCACTGAGCTCCTGGACAGTCTGAGGTGCAACCTGGCGGTGTCGGATGGACTGAAACATATCCCTGATGTGTTCTATTGGATTTCAGTCAGGCGAGTGTGGGGGCCATTCAATGGTATCAATTCCTTCATCTTCCAGGAACTGCCTGCATACTCTCAAAAACATGAGGCCGGGCATTGTAGTGCACCAAGAGGAACTCAGGATTCACTGCACCAGCGTATGGTCTGATAATGGGTCCAAGGATTTAATCCTGATACCTAATGGCAGTCAGGGTGCCATTGTCTAGCCTGTAGAGGTATATGTGTCCCTCCATGGATATGCCTCCCCAGACCATCACTGGCCCACCACCAAAACAGTAATGCTGAACGATGTTACAGGCAGCATAACGTTCTCCACGCCTTCTCCAGACCCTTTCACGTCTGTCACATGTGCTCAGGGTGGACCTGCTTTCATCTGTGAAAAGCACAGGGCACCAGTGGCAAACCTGCCAATTCTGGTGTTCAGTGGCAAATGCCAATCGAGCTGTATGGTGCTGGGCATAGAACACAGGGCCCACTAGAGGATGTCGGGCCCTCAGGCCACCCTCATGAAGTCTGTTTCTGATTGTTTGGTTAGAGATATTCACACCAGTGGCCTGCTGGAGGTAATTTTGTATGGCTCTGGTAGTGCACACCCTGTTCCTCCTTGCACAAAGGACCAGATACGGGTCCTGCTGATGGGTTAAGGACCTTCTGCAGCCCTGTCCAGCTCTCCTAGCGTTACTGTCTGTCCCCTGGAATCTCCTCCATGCTTTTGAGACTGTGCTGGGAAACACAGCAAATCTTCTTGCAATGGCACGGCCTGTGCCATCCTGGAGGAGTTGGACTGCCTATACAACCTCTGTAGGGTCAAGGTATCGCCTCATGCTACCAATAGTGACACTGACCCTAGAAAAATGCAAAACTAGTGAAAAACAGAAAAGATGAGTTGGGAAAAAAATGTCAGTGGCCTCCACCTGTAAAACCATTTATGTTTTGGGGGTTGTCTCATTGTTGCCCATCTAGTGCACCTGTTGTTAATCAGTTTCAGCTGCTTCTGGTGTTATTAAAATTAACAACCCCCTCTGCTACTTTTCTGACCAGATCAATATCCCAGGAGTTTAATTGACTTGATGCTATACTCCGATTAAAAAATGTTCCTTTAATTTTTTTGAGCAGTGTACTTAACTGCTCTGTGCAATTATATTGTACAGAGCAGTCTCTTACCCCCTCTTTGGCAGTTCCCCCACCAGTACTTTCTGCCCCTTTTTTCTTCCAGGTGCCTCCTTACCAAGCCAGATGCTATAGGGGG